GATATAGTATTCTTGGCTGCATATTTTTCTCATTTAGTGCTCTGAATATATCATGCCAGTCCTCTGGCCTGCCAGGTCTCTGTGGATAGGTATGTTGCCAATCGAATGTTTCTACCATTGTAGGTTACAGATCTCTTGTCCCGAGCTGCTTTCAGGATTTTCTCTTTGTCTCTGAGACTCATCAGTTTTCTATTAGATGTCGGGGTGTTGACCTATTTTTATTGATTTTGAGGGGGGTTCTCTGTGCCTCCTGGATTTTGTTGCCTGTTTCCTTCCCCAGATTAGGGATGTTCTCTGCTATAATTTGCTCCCATATGCCTTCTGCCCCTCTCTCTGTTTCTTCTTCTTCTGGGATCCCAGTTATTCTAATATTGTTCCGTCTTATGGTATCACTTATCTCTCAAATTCTGCCCCCGTGATCCAGTAGTTGTTTCTCTCTCTTTTTCTCAGCTTCTTTATTTTCCATCATTTGGTCTTCTATATCACTAATTCTCTCTTCTGCCTCATTTATCCTAGCAGTTAGAGCCTCCCTTTTTTATTACACCTCATTAATAGCCTTTTTGATTTTGACTTGGTTAGATTTTAGTTCTTTTATTTCTCCAGAAAGGGTTTCTCTAATGTCTTCCATGCTTTTTTCAAGCCCAGCTAGTATCTTTAAAATCGTCATTCTGAACTCTAGTTCCGCCATCTTACTAATGTCCGTATTGATTAGGTCCCTGGCAGTCAGTACTGCCTCTTGTTCTTTTTTTGTGAGGTGATTTTTTCCATCTTGTCATTTTGTCCAGAGGAGAACAGATGAATGAGCGAAAAAAATGCTAACCGGGTGCAAGGACCCCAGAAAAGCTAATATATGTACAAAAAAGATGACGGGTTGGAATATGACTGTAAAGATGAAAATTATAAAGGATTTTATAAAAGGAATTGATAAGAAGTTGGTTGAAAAAAGAAAGAAGAGTAATTTTTAAAAAAAAAGGGAGAGAATATGATCAGGCAGGAGACTAGAACAAAGCCATACACTAGAGATTTAGGGTATATTTTTGTCTGTTAGAAGAAACTGTATCCCAAAATTTTAAAGAGAGAATAACATATATATATACCAAAAATAAGGTTAACTACAATGAAGGGATAGAATATGACTAAAAATGAAAAATAAAAAAGATTTTTAAAAAAGCGATTGATAAGATATTGGTTGAAAAAGGGAAAAAAAATTCAAAAAAGAAAAAGAAGAAAAAAAAGAATTAAAAAAATTTAACTTTGAAAGACTATAGAATCATGGGGAAAAAGCCATGAATTCTATGTGCAGTATTCCCCTAGTGCTGGTGTTCTGCAGTTCTCATTGATCAGTAAACTTGGTCTTGGCTGGCTATTCTTGCTGATCTTCTGGGGGAGGGGCCTGTTGCAGTGGTTCCCAAATGTCTTTTCTGGAGGTGGAATTGTCCCGCCCTTGCCGGGTCTGGGCTAAGTAATCTGCTTGGGTTTGCTCTTGGGAGCTTTTGTTCCCTGCAAGCTTTCCGTACAGCTTTGGAGGAGGAGAATGAAAACAGCAGCCTCCCAATCTCTGCCTGGAGGAGCTGAGAACTCAGGTCCCCACTCCTCAGTGCACCCCCCCAGAGAAAAGCAGTCAATCATTCCCATCTCCCTGGTCTCCAGCTGCACTCCGTGCTCACCCAGCCTGTGACCCAGCATTTCTATCTCTGGCACACGACTCAGTGTGGAGTCTCCAAACCCAGCAGATCCCTGCAGTGTGCTCCTGTGCCACTCCTCCTGGGGGAGGAAGGGGAATCTCCCGGGATCTGCCACTTGTTGGGTCCCTGCTGGAGGAGCAGTGGCCCGACTGTGCTGCGGATCACAGTTTTTTTTTGTTTTTTGTTTTTTTTTCAGATCATGGTTTATGGCAACCCCAAGCTGAGAGCCCGCTCCTCGGCTCGGTCTGTGCAGCCGGCTTCCCCGCTCCGATACCTGGGAGTTCTGCCATACTCAGGCACCCTTGATCTTCCTGTGACCCCCAAGGGTCCCGAGACCACACTGTCCCAGCGAGGGTTCCACCCCCCCACCCCCCACCCCCCGCTTAGCCACTGGAGCAACATCCCTCAGCGGAGCAGACTTCTACAAGTTCCAATTTTGTGTTCCGAGGCTCTATCACTTGTCAGTATCGGCTGATGGAGGCCCCCTCCCCCGCCATCTATCCTCCCGAGTATCAACTTGGATTCACTTCTCCACATGTCCTACCTTCCAGAAAGTGGTCGCTTTTCTGTTCAGAGAGTTGCTGCTATTCTTTTCTTTGATCTCCTGTTGAGTTCGTAGGTGTTCAGAATGGTTTGATCCCTATCTAGCTGAATTCCTGGGACCAGATGAAATTTAGGTCTCCTACTCCTCCGCCATCTTGCTCCTCCCCCCTCAAGTTAATAAAATTTAAAGTCCCTCTGATGTGTGTGTGTGTGTGTGTGTGTGTGTGTGTAATCTATTTCCATATCTTGACATCTCTCTCTATATCCATCTATCTATCCATCCTGGGATATATGGTAAATGTGCATTTACTTTTATATTTAATTAAAATTTTTATCACAAGGTTATGCTCATTATAAGCCCTAATATGATATACAATTTAAATAGTGGCAAAAATAAAATTTGTTTCTCTTCAGTTCTTTTAAAACACAGAAATTAACAATATACTGTTATTACCTGGTTTTGAACAGACATAATGCTTAAAAGAAAATCTCTCATTAGTTCCATTAAAGCTTTCAAGCAGGCCATGTTTAGTTTGGCAGCTTCCCCAAGGACCAACAAAGCCAGTATTGAATCCAACCTAGGAATTTTGTGAACAAAACAACAAAGACCTTCATTAAAACAATAATAAACAATTTTAATGAAAAAATTGGCCAGAGTTAATGAGTATCCCAGATTACCAGATACATTTAGTTTTAATAAAGACCAGTATTGGTTGACACTGGTTCTGATTAAAGTCTACAAGAAAGAACCACATTTTGGGAAGATATTTGAATTCAGAGTAGAGTTCTGTCAAAACTCTGAGAGTAATAAATACCACAAAAGATCACATTTCTTCATAGATTCTGTATAACAAGCAATCAAGGGCTCTGGTTCTAGAGTGTCCCCAAAATCTCATAATAGGTTTTGATTTTTAACTTTCTGCACCTAAGAAGTGAATTTCAAGAATGTTTTCCTCTCAAAAAAGAGAACAAATTTAAAAATGACCTTCCTAAACACTCCAAAAGTTCAGATTATTTGATTTTACAAAAAGTGTAATTTCTTAAAATCTATATTTCTGTTTGATTAGAAGATTGTCAAGATTTATCACTCAAAATATTGTATAATAACTGGGAAATCACACAAGAATTTATTAGTCATAAATGAACATATATTTGATGGTTTCAGGAAATTATACATTTAGTGCTATTTTCACCCAACTGAAAGAGATATAGTTCGAAAGAGAACTGGTAAGAATGCAAACGTAAAATTCCTCTGCCTAGAGCTGCATATTACCTTGATTTATAAGCCATTGATAAAGAGTTAGCATATTTTACAATTATATTTGAATTTGACAACTGTGATATTTCAGGCCAGTAAGTCAAGTTCATTATCATTTTCAAAAGGAAACACCTCTAATCATGGGGAAAAAAGACAATTCTTTATATTTGAATAGAGCTTTACAGATCTCAATGTGCTTTCACATAAATTATCTCACTCATTGAACCACAATTTTTCACACATTCAAGACTTCTTTGAAATCTTTTTTTTTAAATATTAGAAAATTGAGACATAAATAGATCTGGGAGATTTATACAGGTTCCTGTTTTTAGCTAGGTTAAAGATAACTAAAGTCTTGGGGCACCTGCTTGGCTCAGTCATTAAACGTCTGCCTTCGGCTCAGGTCATGATCCCAGGGTCCTGGGATCGAGTCCCACATTGGGCTCCCTGCTCAGCAGGAAGCCTGCTTCTCCCTCTCCCATTCCCTCTGCTTGTGTTCCCTCTCTCTCTATGTCTCTATCTGTCAAATAAATAAATAAAATCTTAAGGAAAAAAAAAGATAACTAAAGTCTTCTCTCACCTAAGGGTACTTCCAGTGTTGCTTTTCCAAACCATTATTTAAGGACATCAAAACTAAACTTATTGTGGTGATCATTTCACAATATATACAAACATTGAATCATTATGTCATACACCTGAAATTAATACAATGCTATATGCTAATTATACCTCAATAAAAAAATTTAACCTCAAGATGACAATGCTGCCTATTGCCTGCTCCTTCCTTTCAGAAATAAACCTCAGTTTTGTTCAAAACAGCAAAATGCTCAGTTAACATTGCTCCTCAAAATGGAAGTGTTCTATATCTTGATTGTGATTACACAGGTGTATGCATTTTTCAAAGGTCATAGTTCTGTGTACATAAAATGTGTGAATTTTATTGTATTTTGTAAATTATATCTTAATAAATTTGACTTAAAAAATGAATCCCCACACTCCCTTGAAGCTTGGACTAGCCATAAATGTAGATGTAGTCAATGAGATACAAATGGAAGTGTATTATGAAAGTCTTCCAGGTAAGCTATTATTTTTCTGATTAAGAAAGAGATTAAATTTAGATAACAGGTGATTTTTTTTTCCTTTGCTCATCCTTTCCCTCCCGCTTGGAAAACATACATGATGCCAGAAGGTAGAGCAGCTATCTTGCAACAATGAGGATAAAAGTCCAATACTATCAATGGAAGAAAAGGAAGCTGGAAGGAGCTTGGGTCTTGATTTTCTGAAGAATCTCCATATCAATACTGTACTGCTTTTTATGTGCAATAATTAGTGCCTTATTTGGTAATCCAATTGTAGTTAGGTTACTGTTTCATGCAGAAGAACTGAATCCTAACTGATAGACTCCGCATGATGTTTACAAGCATGAACTTAAAGTCAGAAAAATGATAGATGGAATCTTAGCTCTGTCACTAATTAGGTATATGACATAGGGCAATTTGCATAGCCTACCTCAGTCTGAATCTACTCATCTATAAGTAAATATAGCAAAACCTATTTTTCAGAGACTATTAGGAGATTTAAGTATAATACTCTATGTGAAATGGCTAGGTTGAAAATGCTGACCTGAATCAAATTACAAAAAAGACTATTTCTTCAAAGTCAAAGGATATGAATTTGATAACTTTTCTCTGTGAAGTCTTAGAGTGACTGAGTTCCAGATGCCCTCGGAGGTGAATGACCAGTGAGTCATTCTCAGAGTACTCCTCACCCCACTTCACAATAAGGTCAAGCAAAGGAGAGTATAGGAGTATAGTCTCAGACTTACAGAACTTCCCCTTGCCCCTGAATATACGTCACAATCCTAAGATTTTGGTTCTTCTGTTCTTTTAAGTCTGGAAAATTTTAACTAATGTAGGGCACTTCCACTAAAATATGGATGAAAATAGATCCATTAGTGTCAGCCTCCTATGGTAGAAAAATGCTTCAACACAAACATGCTATTTTCAATCAATGCTACTGATTGCAAAATTTTCTGTAAGTGAAAGTACCTTTGCCAAAAATAGAATAGAAACACCAATACTTACAAATTGGAGTTTGTTAAAATTCAAAACTAAAAATCAATGCACATAGAAAGAATTCAAAGTTGATTAGGTTAGAAATTTGCACTAGCTTCTTTGTGAACTCACTACAGTACAAATCTCAATCATTAGTAGACTGACTTGGTTTTACAGTGCCATGAAATTAAACATGTATAAAGTAATTTATAAATATTATAAAATTTCCCCTAATTTGATAAATAAAGAAACTAGGGCAGAGGTCTACTGGCTTGTCCAAAATAACATAGTTACTTGATTCATTTTACTTTAAATTTTTCTTTCACTTTTAAAGTTAATGTGAACCACTGCACACAGGTAAATAGTACCAGATCCTGGACTAGACCTCAGCTAGCCTTACTCCACCCCACTGTTCCTTCTACACTAATATAAACAGCTAAAATATATCAAATAAATAAAGGTATAGATGATAGATTGCTAAAATACAATAAATAAGAGGCTTCATAAATAGCTACTGACCTATCTATCTACACAACCTTATAAAAAGTTTAGGAACATCAGCATTCAAGACAGTTTTCCTAGGTTCTCCTTACTCCTCTATATCGATTTCTTCAATGATCAAATTGTAATTTTAAAAGATGGAATTAAAATGTCTCCAAGTCACAACCCTTACACAGGGTTATTTCAACAGAAAACACTGACAATGTCAAAATGCACACAACCCTAAAAATGAAAGACTAAGAATGAAAGAGAAGTCACTAAGAGTAGCAATTTAAAGGGAATTTCCACAAATCATAAAATTGATGGAGCTGGATTAAGAACAGCAGCAAGGAATACACACATTCCACTTCGTGAAATTCTAGCCTCGTGCCCCCAACAAAAGTTAAAAGGGGGAAAAATGATCTCTACCATCTATGGTGTTTTTCATAGATTCAGAAAAAAAGTAAAGCCAGTCCCTTACTTTGGAGTACTGATTTTTTAAGAAGCCAGAGTATTATTTCTGTGCTTCATTCTCATCTCTTTCATCTGGCAACTTCCAGATGACAAAAAGGGTAGAAAACCATACTGTGGCAATGTGTGTGTAGGAGGCAGGGAGGAGGAGGAACACTATAATGGGAACACTGGAGGGCATTTTCTCCTCAAAAGAAAAAAATGTCAAAGAGTAGGAAGAATATAGGAAGGTCCCTGATGATAGTGCATGTTGAGTGTTGCAGCATTTAACAACTCTGTTATGTATGCTGTGAATACAAACCTCTTATTTTAAAATACCAAGTTTTTATAGATTTCTCCTAGGTAATGAGGTAAGTAAAATAGAAGGTGAAGAATATTAAAGCAAGAGCTAAAGAGAATATCAGTCTGAATACTCAGAGAGGATCATAGCTCTGAAAATGATTTCTTACAGGGACCAGAAGATATTTTTATAACTCTTAAGCACCTTTAATAAAACCAAATAAGAGGAAAAGACAATGAAAAGCCTTGATACTGAGATGAAAGGTAGTATGGTAAGAAAACAAAAGACTGCAAAGAGATTAAAATACAAAAATATAATTCAAATCCATGATGAGGAAGTTAACTACAAAAGTTGCTTGGAAGGGAGAAAACTGGCAAACTGAGACCCACGACTAATTCCCATTGAGACAACCAGGGTATGTCTGGGTGGCTCAGTTGGTTAACGTCTGATTCTGGATTTTGGCTCAGGTCATGATCTCAGGGTCATGGGATCAAGCCCCACCTGGGGTCCTGTGCTCACCAGGGAGTCTGCTTGAGATTCTCTCTTTCTCTCCCTCTGCCCGGCCCCCCACTTACGCTCTCTCTCTAAATAAATAAATAAAATCTTTTTTTAAAAGAAGAAAGAAAGAAACAACCAAAGAAACATAGAATCAAGGGTAAAAATCTGTAATACTACAAAAAAGAAAAAAAAAAGAAAGGAACTTTAAAGATGTTAAAGTTATGAACAAAATGGAATTCAAATGAAGGAAAACCTTTCCAAACCTGAGAAGCCAAAAATTAATTTAAAATTTAGTGCAGGCATATATGGGTTTTCCACTTTAATGTAATGGATAATCCAAACTCAGAGAGGCAGGAACTGTGCACTAAGCATGTGAACGATGAATAATCAGTGGAAGGCCTTCAGGAAACACAGACCCGTCACCAGCACATTTGAGCACAGCTGCACATAGCAGGGCTTTTCTCTGAGTAAAAGTGGAGGATTTACCTCAACAGTTTCCAAAGATGGCCAGTGAGACAAGGGAGGATGCCTTTTCTA